CTTTCTGGGTGTGAAAGAGAGGCACCATTTGAACAGAAAAACACCTTTAGAACTTTTGTTTACCCTTTGCTTAGCTCACTGAAGCCTGAGAATTTAATGTATGTCTCAAGGGCTGATGAGTTACTTGAGGATGGTACTTTCCTCTTGCTCATTTTAGAATTTTTCCTACAAGAACAGGGAGTAAAGACTGTTGGCTGATTGAAGTCATCTGGGTTACATATTTTAAAACCACTTAATATGAACAACTTAAATTAGAAAGCAGGAATAAACTTTTGACTTTAAGTCATATTTTGTATTTTTCAATGGAAATCTGGCACTATAAATCTATATCTATAAATATTTCCATGCTGGATGACCACACTTTTCTTGGACATTACCTTCTGGAAATCATCCAAAATATGTAAAATGCTTAAATTGCAAAAGCATTTATCATAGTTCCTTATAACAACAGTAAGTTGGAAACACACCATCCCTGCCAATTTGATTAAATGACTTTGGAAGCATCTACTTGATGAGATATTATGTAATCATTGAAAAGTACAGGGACATCAAGGCTCAGTACTTTGATAAATTGCTAGTGAAAAATATTTGGTTGAAAATTGAGGTACAATGTGATTATAACTATCAGACTAACATGCTTAGAAAGAAACTAGCAGGGAATATACGAAAATATTTGAAAGAGTGGAAAATTCTTCTGCTTATTTAATTTTTCTTTATTTAATTGTGTTGCCTCGTTTTGTAATAAGATAAAAGACAGAAACACTGAAAAGAAAAGGAAATAAAATTCTGGGAGTAGCTAAGGGGAGATAAAACTGCTGTTGAAGCAGATAAGCAGGTGGACAGGTAAATGCATGAAATAGTCTAGTGATGAGTCTAGTGAAATAGTCTAGTAATAGTCTACCATGATTCTGTGGATGCTCATGAAAATAGCATTCTTTCGTGATTTCCTGTTCTTGCTTCATTATGTTTTGGTGCCTCATGGAGTTTATTGCTGAATACAATAGTCCCCTCCTGAGGGGATTCGTTTGGAGGCTCCTCCTGGCTGGCTGAAACTGCAGATACAGCAAACCCTATAACTTAATGCCTTTTCCATCTTAACCAAGTCCTTGTCACTCACTGTTGCAATATATTTTGCAGTTTGAGGTGTAACAGGCAGACTAGTACAATATTTGTCCTTCTTCTTCACAGTTTCAGAGAGTGAAAATGTTTTCTAACCTTAGATGTCAGCAACTTCAACCTTGGCATAAGTTTTTCTTTCTATCCTTCATAGGTCAAGAAGTTTCTTCTTTTTACTTCAAGGAAGCACTTTATGACCTTTCTCTGGCGTATGCAAATTACCAGCATCACTTTTCTTGTGATTTGGAACTGTTATTAGACAAACTAAGGGTTACTTGAGCATGATCACTGTGATACTGTGACATCTGAAAGTATATATAACTACTCAGTGACTAAGGAGTGGGTAGTATAAACAGTATGGACACATTGGACAAAGAAATGATTCATGTCTTGGGAGGGATGGAGTGTAAGATTTCATCATGCTACCTAGAGTGGCATGCAATTTAAAGCTTATGAATTGTTCAGGTTGGAAATTTTCCGTATAATGTTTCTAGACCACAGTTGACTGTGGATAACTGAAACTGTGGAAAGTGAAACCACAGAGAAGGGAGGAGTACTATATCCACATTTGTCTGTCTGAAGCCCTTCTCCTTTAAATGTTTACATAAACATGTTTCTCTGGTATATTGCTTCTCTATCTTTTGAGATTGGGGATTAGGTAGGCGAGATGGTATGGCAAAGCTGGTAAATCTGCCACAGCATCACAGGTCACCCAAGAATTCCAGACACCACTTCACAGACTTATTTCTTAAGAACAATTCACAATCTCTGGAAATCAAGAAATTAATTTGAAGCAATAGTTCTAGTAGAAGTCTATTTTAGTTAGCTTTTTTGTCACTGTGACCAAAAGACCTGACAGAAACAATTAGAGGAGGAAAAGTTTATTTGAGGCTCACAGTTTCAGAGGTCTCTGTCCATAGATGGCCAAATCCATTGCTTTGTTCTGAGGTGAGGCAGAACATTATGGCACAAGGGTGTGGCAGAGGGAAGCAGCTCAAACATGGAATTCAGGAAGCACAGAAAGAACTCCACTCACCAAGGACAAAATATAAATCTCAAAGTTATGTCCCTACTGGTCTATCTCCTCCAGCCACACCCTACCTGCCTTCATTTAAAAATTAATCCACTGATTAGGTTACGACTCTAACAAACAAATCATTTCACCTCTGAACCTTGCACTTGTCTTATATATGAGCTTTTGGGGGATACCTCATATATAAACTATAATGGGCTGGGGGACATCAGTGAGGATCAGAAGTCACTGAACATCTCCATACTTCTAGACCAAAGATCTGTGCAAAGCTCTTCCCAGGAATGGAAAGTTCGTGGACTGGTCCTTGTAAAGAAGCAGGTGGTGAAACAGGTGTTAGATGTGTCTTGCCGAGCAATTTAGGCTTCTGTCTATAAAAACACAAAGCCTCTGAGTTTCAACCTCACGGAGTTTAGACCTCAACTTCTGCTTCTTTTCTAGTTAACCAAAAGACATCATCACCAGTTACAAAGTCAGCACCATGTTTAACTCCTCAAGTGATAGGAGAAATAATAGAATTGAATAGAGAAATGGTAGAATGTTGTTCTTTGGTGGAAATGGGTATTTTGATTAGCTGCAGGTCTTTCATTCAAAGGTGCTTAACTAAGCAATTGTTTGCCACTGTAGTGGAAGACCCAAGAGACTCCTTTCAAACTTCTGTAACAGTCTGTGAATAGGAAGATGACTATGACAGAGTGCAAAAAGGAAAAGAAAAATGTCGTGTGTGGGGGGAACTTTTTGTATGCTACTTAGGCATATCATTCTCTCAAATGGATTTCTGCAGTTGATTTTTATTGTTGTATTTCACCTGTTCCTGATATTTTTAGACAGCTTTGTTTTTCTTTCTTTCTTTCGTTCTTTTTTTTTTTTAGCTACCCTGAGATGGTCCTTAATGTGGGAGCTGTCATCCCAGAGTCTTTTCTCAATACATTTTGGATAAACTGCTGTTTGATTTTCCCATAGTGAGTGATTAAAGTGACTGCTGCTATTCTTTTTCAGCAAAAATAACAAAATGTAATTGGCTGTAAGGCTATTTCGAAGGCAGGGTTGCCATTTATCCACCAACAATCTCATGTTAGGAAATCTGTTCTGTTTCTTCTAGCTGTGTTGGATATTCATCCTGGCTCTGTCCTGGAAGGGGGAGTATCAGGGTGGACTTAAATCAGGGCTCTGCCATATAGATGCTGGCTTCCACCTACAGGTGGTCTCTGGAGTCCACCTGTAGCAGTGCCACATCATGGGAACAGTTCTGGAACGGAACCCAGGACCTGAGATTTAGCTGACATCCAATTGTGTTAAGGTCCTTGCATGGGCTCAGTGTCTTCCTCACTTTAACAGCAGTTGTGATCACCATGCTTCACTCTATCACTATGCTTCTGTGATTTTTGCCTTCTGATCTATGGGACAATTGTCCATTCTGCTTTGGAGACACAGTGGGAACAGGGATGGGTCTGGAGAAGGGTGAGAAAAAAGCAAGATGATAGTGGGAAGCACTGTGAAGACTATGAGTAGGGTTGGTTCCCTTGTATGGAGTGCTCAGGGGTAGGATCCATGGGCCCACCTGTTCAGCGTGCAGTAGGAGAAAAGGAATCCAAAGACAGAGTCAGGAGCAAAGAAGAATGAGTGATAAGTTCAGAAAGACCTTTTATCTGGGTCTCCCAGAGCTCTTGAGTATTGCCACTGAGCTGTCCAGATAGTACTTCTCTGCTCTGCCCTGAGGGTAGTCATTAGTACTGTTGAGTCTCTGTCTTTTGGGGGGGATGTGGGTGCAGGAGTGCTGGGGATTGAACCCAGGGCCTTACGCATGATAAGCATATGATCTACCACTGAGTTACCTCCACCTGCTCTGTCTTAGTTCTTTATATTTTTTCCTCTCCTTCCTCATCACCAAGGTTCAGGTTAGACACAGTCTCTCTCTTTCTTTTTAAATGATGACTTTACTGAGATGACTCACCAAATATAATATTTATCCTTTCTTTATTTTTAATTTATTTTTTATTGGCACATTGTATATAATAATGAGATTTGTTACATATTCCTACATGCACGGGGAAAGAAAACTCACCCTTTTAAAGCATACAATTCAATTGGGATTTAGAATATTCACAAACCTGTAGAGATAATTTCTCCTTTTTATAAGTAGAAGAAGGAACAAATTATAAATCATTCATATTGAGCATAATTTCAGATGTTGACTTTGTATTATTTTCTTTTAAAACTTGTTTATGCACTATGATTGCTTGTTTGTTTTCTGTTTTCTTTTTTCCTTCCTGCCTCTGATTGGATTGATTGGGTTTGCTGTGCTTCATTTTTTCCTTTGAGTAATTTGTAAGCCAGATACCAACTTCTGTTCACCAAGCAATTGCCCTGAAATTTTCATCAAGAGTTTAATCTCACACTTTCCGATTTCTCGACAATTAAATGGCAATATCAACTTCCTTCCTGGTAAAACAAAAATGTTGGCATACACCCTTTGTTTTATGTTCCCCACTCTCACTATGTTGAAACCCATAGGAATTTTAATTTTGTGTTGTCATTAACATTTTAGATTTAGTTGTGTTGTTTCATTTACACTTTAGCTTACTACTGTATTTTTTGGCATCCTATATATTTTCTTTTTGGGTTTTTTTTTTTCATTTAGCTGGAATATATATTCTTAATTCAGGGGATATCCCAGAGAGATAAATATTCTGAGTATTTGTGTGTCAGAGCATGCCTCTCTTCTTCACTCTCTTGAATACTAGTTTGGTAGAAAGGAGAATTTCCAATTCAAAATAGTATTTCAAAACCATTCAGATATTTTTCCAGCATTCAATATGTCAAACTCTGATGACTGTTTATAATTTTTTCATAGATTTTCTGATGTTTCTGTGCTCTCTGGGAACTTGGAAGAAGTCTGGTTTCGTTCATTCAGCAATTGTTTATCAAGAGGCTCTTACACAAAGGCACTGTTCCAGATTCTAAAGGTAAAAATGTGAACAGAGCAGATGTCTTGTCCTCATGTTGCTTGAATTCCAGTGGAAGGAGCAACAAGGAAAACAAACACAGGAGAAAAACCATGTGCTATGTCATTAGCAAGTTTATTTTGGTTCTTGGTTTCAGAGGATAGTCTGCAGTTAGCTGAGTCCATAACTCAGGGCCCAAGGTGAGGCAGATCATCATGGCTGCAGGGAAAGATGGGGTGTAGGGAGCACAGGAACAGCCACAGGAAAGATAAACCCTTCCAGGGCATGCTCCCAGTGACCCACTTCCTGCAGCCGTACCCACCTGCCTACAATCACCACCCAGTTAGTTCATTCAAACTGGGATGGATGGATTCAATTCTTTAGATGTAAATCATTGTAAACGATTGTAAAAATACAATCATTTTGATTCCAAACATTCCTGCATTAACCCAGGAGCTTCTGGAGAACACCTCATATCCAAATCATAAGAGGTGTGCTGGTTAGAAGTGGCTAAGTATCAACATTAAAGAAAATTACTGAAAAAGTGATCTGTGACTGGAGGCATGAAGGAGGTGAGCATGTAAGTAGTGTGATTTCTGGAAAAAGAGGAGCCACATAGGAAGAACTTCATGTGAATAGAACCTGAGGCAGGGCATGCCAGTCCTGTTTGAAGAAAGCAAGTAGTTATCATGTTTATTTGGCATATATTAATGAAGGGGAAACTTATAGGAGGTAATATCAAAGACATAGAGAATGAGAAGGATCACTTACATCCAGAAGGACTGTATAGACCATTTCTAAATCTTAATTGGACTCTGAGTAAGATGAGAAGCCATTGAGGATTGGGAGAAGAAGGATGGCATTTTCTGCTTTACCTTTAGAGAGATTACTCTGGTTATAAAGTTGTGAATACACTGTAAAAGAAACAGTTCAGTAAGAGAGTAGAATAAGAGAGGATTCCTGAGTTTGCTGTTATGATCCCAGGAATCAGTGATGTGACTTGAACCACAGTCATTGCAATGTGCGTGGTGAGAGGTACACCAATCCCAGATTTACTTAATTTAATATTTTGTAATATTATAATTTAGAGATAATTTTTACACAGGACATTTACAGAAATGTTGTAAGCATGGGTATAAAGAACTTCAATGCCTGCTTTGCCTAAATCCCCAATTTTAATTTTTACCACATTGACTTTTCATGTTTATATACATATTATATGTAATATGTATATTATAATTTCTTGGATCAATCTGAAAAGAAACCAAGAACATGATGATTTTTATCCCTATGATATGCAGTGCACATTTTTCTAAAGACAAGATATTCTTTTATATAACTGCATACAATGATCAAATTTAGGAGAGTAGCATAGATGAAATTCTATTACTTAATCTATAGGCTCTGTTAATATTTTGCAATTATACCAGTAATGTCCTCTACAAAAAAAAAAAAAAAAATCCTACCTAGAGATCCTATGTGGACTATTATGTGTGACAGGGGATAGAAATGGTGGTGAATTTGGGAATAAAACAAAAAAATCAGGGAGGAATGCCAAGCTTTCAATCAAGCAACTGGAAAGTAAAGTCACTACTACCAGAGGCTGGGAGGACTTTGAAGGAACAACTTTTGTGTCTCTCTGGGAATGTGGGAGTGGTATCCAGCTTTGAAGTTTGAGATGCTCATTAAACATCAATGTGAATATGAAAATGTGTTCTCTGTGATTTGACATTCCATCTTCATTTGTCTAAATATGAGAATTTTCTATTAGTTTAGCACAGCATTAGTAGGCTCTTTCAAAACAAAAATTTCATCTTTTTATGCATAGTAAATATTCTTACTTAGTTAAGTATTCCACTTCATTTTTCTGTCTCCTGATTGTTGGAACTTCTAGTTTTGCCCTAGGAGTTTCTTACCTTTTCTTTTTATCTTTCATCCCTTGACCTTTTTGTTATTATTATTCCATCTTTGTAGATCTCTTTGAATATTCTTGTAAGCTCACTGACTGTGAAGTAGGACATTTAAAAAAAAATTCAATAACAACGGAGTCTTTTTTTTTTAACATCATTCTCTTTCCTCTGAGGGCATTTATAGATGTTTTGCCTTTTTAGCTTACTAATTAGTCTTGGTTCTTTTGCCTGAGGAATTTGGTCTCCATCTAATGTGGCATTTATTTTCCTAAAACATTTAGTGATTATTTCTTGTCTTTTTATGTTTGTACTTGATCTGATGATCTCACCACTTGCCATGAAGAATCTCGAGCACAATCTTTCCTTTCCAACCCATGTTTTTAATGTTTGTTTAGTTTGGAACTGGCACTGACTGATGCTAATCCTTATACTATTTAAACTTGACTGACATAATGGCCAGCTAATGATATCATGCTTCTGTCTCGCCCTTCTCTAACTCTTCCTTTATTATCAAAATGATTTTGAAGTTAAAATGTTGAATGCTATTTGAGATTATAAAATCCACTGCATCTCATATTTTTCAGTATAGAATAGGAAATCTTGAGTGTGGCAACATAGTGGGTAAGCCTCATCTGCAGACACTCATCTGTATTTCATTAATATATTTTAAATTTCAGGTGTTTCTGGCTGTTGGTAATCCCCTAAACATGCATCCACTCTTTACTCTGACTCTTTGATTGAGTGCTTTATCTTGTCTCTATGTCCAGAACTTCAATTCATCCTTCAAGATTAAGTACCCATCAAATACCTGTACCCATTTTGATACCTTCACTGTGACTAGATCTTAAAATAACTACCCTCTTTTCTGAAATTTTACAGCACTTTTTTACTTCCCTATAGGGGTTTCTTTAATAATCTACGTATCCCTATCTCTCTTGCCAAATGGAAAGAGATATAAATGCAATGATGTTTACTCCATTTCTGAATCTTTCCTACCTACTATACAATAAACATTTAAAAATTATATTATTTGTTTAATAAGTGAAGTGAGAAATCCAAGATTATAGGTGCTCTTTTGTTTTGAAAAGGGTAGAAGTCCTGGTAACTGTGGTCTATACACTTATAAGGATGTGGATTGCTTAACATTATTTTGGAGGATTCTGAAAACTTTGTAGGACTCTAATTTAGTAGGCTGGTCTCTGATGTTGGTTCTATCGTAGATTTTTGTAAAACAACCACAGAAACTAGTTCCATGTCTCACTTCTGAGATTGGGGTAGTCTTTGGGCAATGGGGAATGACCACTGAGGCCCAAGAAACATTGTGGGCAAGGCAATGGGAAGTGAACTGGCAAGACACAAGGAAATTGCCATTAACCAAGTCTTAGGTAAATCCAAGGAGCTCTCCTGTGTGTGGGTTGAAGTTAGAACAAAACAAGAAAATAATCATGCAGGCAAGATGACAGAATCCTACTGCTCTACCAGGATTAGGAGAGGCTGGTTTAGAGCTACAAAAACCAATGGACCCTGTTCCAATATATTGTGCTAATAGGTAAATCAGGAGATGGATCTATCTATCTATCTATCTATCTATCTATCTATCTATCTATCTATCTATCTATCAAGATATATACAGAATTAAATATGTTCTTTTAGAAACCAAAGTGTTTTAAGTAGGAAAATGAGAGTGGACGGGACTCAAGCAAACTTGAGTTTGAGGCAAGACTTAATTCTAGACTTCTGAATTCAATGGCAGAGAAAAAGAAGAGATCCCTGCCTAGGAGGGAGAGGTTCATGTCTAGGATGAGGTGGTCGACACATTGCCAGAGAGGTAGCCATGCTTCCTTGGGAGAGCTTGCTCAGGACCCATCGTTTATTTCTGGGATCCTGACATTAGTTACTGGTCTAGACCCAAATGTGGCTCTATCAAAGAAAGTAATGAGGTCAATGATTTTTTCCTCATTATTTTATTCATTCAACTAACAACCTGTGTCCACTATTTTAGAAAATTATGCTAACATTGAAAGAAATTCAGAATCAAGAGGTCCACAAGGGACTAAAATATGAAATAAGGAAGGAAGAAAGCAATTGAAAATGTCTGCAAGGCTAGGCAAGGGCTCCTGAAGGATGTGGAATCTGAGCTTGCACATCAGGGATGTATAATAGCATGAGAATAGGGCAGAATATTTTGGAAAGAGGAAATACAATGAAGACACATGGGTGAGATATCAAAACTGAATGATAAAGTAAATGTTAATTTTTTTTTTTTTTTTAAATCCCTGGTTCCTTGTATTGGTAATGGATTGTTTCTAAGACATCCATTGCCTTCTTACAAGTCTTAAATGAGTTGACTGCCTTTGTTGGAGTATGGTTCATATTGTATTAAACAGCCAACTAGGTAAATAGGTAAAATGTTTTCATCACTTCTTGGTGTAAAGACCCAAATCCAGGAAAATACCATAGTTGGCTCAGAGCCTGAGAATGACAACAGCATTGCTGCTGGGACCATCAGAGCCTCTCTTCCTCTATCCTCTTCCTCCTCCTTCCTGCCCCTTTCCTTTGTTTTCCCCACCTCCTCCCTTTTTCTCTTGTCTTCCTTTTCTTTCCTTCCATCATCTTCTTGACATCCTATTTTTTTCCTTTCATGAGTTTGTTGAATCATTACAGAAACACTAACCACTCACCTTGTGCCAAATACTGGGTTAGTGCATATGTTATTATTATTTTTCTGTGAAAATTGGGTGTGAGGTGGAGTTTTTAAGTAATAAAAGTATGTTTAAAACATTCTATTCTAGATGCCTCCTAGTTTTTTTTTTTAATTCCCTTTTTTTCCTCTTCAAAGTGTCTGTATCCCAAAGCTCAGGGAAAATAACAAAATTTGGGCCTAAATATTGAAAAATTAAAATTCATATAATCCAAACTTAATACCCAGGAGAAGAAATGGCTTCTCATTTAAGAGAGTGTTTGTTTCATCACAGTTGGCGAGTTTTGCATAAATTGCACTTATAGTTGTTCCGAGTACCTAGGTCCTGATATTCATCTCTCAGACCTGTCTGTCACATACCCAGTAAGTCACTGCTTCACAGCCCACGGCATCTCTCAGACATTGTGGCT